GACAACTCAATGTTAAGTACATATTGCAAATTATAACTGCAATCACTGGACATGCTCTAATCAAAACTTTTGACTCGCGATCATAAAAAGACGGAAGTTAAAAAATCTTTAACAGGGTATAAAGAATAAGAAAGAGCAACTCTGCTGTTTGAATTTCCCTACAACCTAGACAGTTATGATGAACAATTTGTTATTCATGGAGACAATAAAAACAATAACAATAACCCTTTAAAATTATTAGCCCTTAGGAAGGATACAACAATGAAAGACACAACAAAATCTCTGTAAAATGCAAAGAAGTTGCTTGAATTGCTGGAACAACATGAATAATAGTTTCTCAAAGAAGCAAAAAATATCCGAAGAAAACATTCATTGGGACTAACGGGGTTTGAACCCGTAGCATCCACCCATGTTAGGATGGGCTCTAACCAATTGAACTACAATCCCGGCAATTATATATAGTTAAGTAACCATCTGAAAGGAAGACACCTCTTTGATTTACCAATAGTTCATATTAAATTATTAAATCAACACAGAATTGGTAATCAAAGGTATCACTTTCAATTAATACGAGAACCGGTTCAGAAAAAAACAAGCAAAGCATACGAAAGCGAAAATATAAACTACTATAACAGAAGAAAATAAGATATAAAAATAATGTATACCTTGTTACAGCAGCAGATCATTTGTTTCACACCAAGTGTAAAAGCAAGAAGAGCATGCTCACGGGTCTGGCCATCCTTAGAAATACCAGCCTCAAAACCACCAGTGGTCGAATCAATGATAAGCACAGCACAGTCAGCCTGGGAAGTACCAGTAATCATATTCTTAATGAAATCACGATGTCCAGGAGCATCAATGACAGTGCAGTAGTACTTGGTGGTCTCGAACTTCCACAGGGCAATATCAATGGTGATACCACGCTCACGTTCAGCCTTGAGCTTGTCAAGCACCCAGGCATACTTGAAAGACCTCTTGTTCATCTCAGCAGCTTCCTTCTCAAACCTCTCAATCACACGCTTGTCAATACCTCCAAGCTTGTAGATGAGATGACCAGTAGTGGTTGACTTTCCAGAGTCGACATGGCCAATGACCACAATGTTGATATGAAACTTCTCCTTGCCCATTTTAGAACTCGATTTTTAAGCTGCAGCAACAAACAACCCTTAATAGTGTGAACTATAAACTGAAACATCAATTCAAACTAAAAATTAAAAAGATAACTGCATAAATAAATTAAAAAACAAATGAAAGAGTTAAAAAAAAAAAAAAAATCATTCTTGAAAAGGTAACGGCAAATATATGTAAGGAAAGCACTAAAAACAAATAAAATCTGAAAATAATCATTAAGGCAGACCAAAAAACTTAAAATAAATAAAACCTCAAATTTAAAATTTCCCAAAACCACCTAAAAAAAAAGGAAAAATTAACTTAAAAAAAAAAAAAAAAAAAAAAAAAACTATTGCACACTTAAAAAAGGCAAAACGTAAAATTAGATAAATCCACGTAAACTAGAATTTCGAAATGAATTCAGAAGAAACACCTGATGAAAAGAGATAAACTAGCTACAATACCCTAGCCTCCAAAACTAATATGCAGATTACAGAGAACAAAGCACTGAAGAAATGCTAGTTTGAGCCTATTTATAAGAAAGAGCAAAGCGGAAGAGTTAGGGTTTGTGGAGAAATCTCTAGAATAAATTTACGATATTATCCTCGGGTTAAGGAGTTAAATGACTGTTTTGTCCTTCATTGACTAGGACTCCAAGACAAAAAGTCAAATAGCATTGTGTGTGGGGTAATTTCGTAAATTTATTAGTAATAACTAACGAAAATTGGAGAGTAAGGTTTTGCTTGGGTTTTACGCGGGCTTGGTGAGACGGTGGCTGGCCGACCAGAGTCCTGAATTCGAAAAAGTATAAGCCTATAACGGCTTTAAACTTTTGGGAAAAATTCGTTAAGTATTTCATATTTTAAAATCAAGAAAACAAACTTCAAACTTCAAAAAATTAGATTTTTATTAAAATTTATTTATGATTTAATTATTTAATTATTTATTTATTTAATTAAATATATTTAAGTCACAGACCCATACAATTTGACCATAAATTAATAATTTAGTTAGTCGCTTATTATTTATTGTCACAAATCATAACTTTTATATCGCAAATTATTATGGTCAAAATTCAAAATTTTTATAAATCACAATTTATTCATCAGTCACAAATCAAAAATTTATGAGTCACGATTTATTTATTAGTTACAAATTACAAATATTATAACTCACAACTTATTATAGAGTCACAAATTAACAAATTTTTACTTCACACATTATTTTTTGTTAATATTTATCATTTTTATTGGTCATATATTGTTTATTAGTTACGGATTAATCAATTTAATGGTCATGGTCAACCAAATTATTTGTGACCATCGATGACACTTGTGACCACCACCTCACCACCGTCATCAGCCACATCACCACCAAAATCGTCGCCAACCAAAAGCACCACCGCCACACTTACAACATCAAAGTAGCACCACCGTCACCATGCCCACAGCATCACAGAACCACCACCGCTACATCTCGCCCCACCCACCACAACCACAACTGCACACAGCCAACCATCGCACTTGTAGCATCATAGTAGCACATCGCCACTAGAGCCATTCCCATATCCACCATCACCACAGCCACTACCACTACCACTACCACTACCATTACCATTACCGCTGCTACCGTCACCATCCCCAGCGCTGCCGTCACCACAATATCAAAATCATCACTATTTCACAATCTCAAAAACACCAACACACCATTGTCTAACCATCTCACGATCTTAAAATAATCGTTGCAACGATCTCAAAATCACCACTACACTACCATCTCACAATCACAAATCACAATTGTGATGCTCAGATCAACGGCGCTCATCAGCAATCTAAAAATTGTCGCTACACGACTTCTCTGCACTACACAACGCCCAAAGCGACTTTTTAGTCCGACACTGCTGAGTAGTCGCTGCTGTGAGCAGAAGATTGGTGGTTTTCGATGACAACGATCCACGTGTGAGGGATAGCAAAAGAGTGTCACTATGAGCAGAAAAGTGAGAAATGAGAGAGAGAGAGAGAGAGAGAATAGGTTTGGGGGAAATGAATTAGGATTTTGAATGAAATATAGTATATTAATTAATTAATAAAACATCTTATTTTTGAACAATGAAACATCCAGCCTGATTTTAGAATTCTGAATTTTTAAAATAGGATATGGTGTAATTTCCACTAATTTTTTATGAAATAATATATATCCTAGACCATGTTTGATCCACATTATTTGGAAAAATATACATTCTTAAATAGTAATTTAATATCATTTCAACCACACATTTTTCAATAAAATAATATTATATACAAATCCGAAATTTTTCCTTATTTTTTAATCACACATTTCTCATTATTACACTTTTCAAAATTACATTTTTATAAAAATAATGTGGCTCAAACAAGGGCCTAGTTTTCAAAATTAAAGAATTTATTTTAAAGTTTGAATTACAGAACATCACACAATTAACAAATGTTATAGGCTTTTATTTTAAAGTTTCAAGCACAAAATGTCACAGTCACAATTAATAAATTTTATATATTACAACTTATTTATTACTCACAAATTATCAAATTAATTGATCACACATTATTTCTCGGTCACAAATGATAAATTTTATAGATCACAATATATTTATCGATCATAAATTATCAAATCAATAGGTCAAACATTTTTTTTAATCACAAATTACAAATTTCATAGGTCGTGAACTTATTTCATAATCATATATTATCAAATTAATTAGTCACAAGTTATTTCTCGACACAAATTATCAAACTAATTGATCACTACTTAATAAATTTTGAGTCACTATTACAAATTTAGTCGTAGTGTCACTTTTTTTAGAAAACATATAATTTATTTATCACTATTTAACCATATTATTGATCAGAATCACCTAAATAATTAATCACAAAAAAAGCCCCACTCCCACCCCACTATCGACACCAACCGAACGTTGTGCCACCTCACCAACATCACTATTTGTGACCACCATTGCCTCTTGCACCATCACCACCTGCACCACTTGTACCACCATCATTTGTAAATCACCAAAAAAAGCCATCCAAAACTTTGACTAAGCATATTAGAAAAAGAATAACCTACCGTCAAAACCCCAAAACCATCTCCGAAAATCACAAAAACTCAGCCACGTAAAATTACCCAACTTCCCGCCATGCCAAATCGCCATCCTCACTCTCCACCGCCTACATCTTCAAGTTAGAGTATGTAGGAAAATAAGTCGTTAGTGGATGAAACCAATTGTATAAGTTTTATTCAATTGCAATAGCCGACTATTGAAATTAATAACCACAAGGCAAACGATTTCAATTTATCAAAAAAAAATTTCATTTCAGAATTTTCCAATGGCTGAAAAAAATGTTTAGCAACACAAAATCAGAAATATAAGTTAACTGCAGGCTAAAACTGTAAACGATGAATCTGGAAGCAACACACTATAGAACTACAAACTGCATGAATTAAATAGTAATGCGAAAATAATCTGTAGAAAGAAAACACAAACTACAGCAGATTTCAAATCGAGGCTTGTGCGTACACAGTTTCCTTAAGACAGTTTCGCCCCCTTACCGAAGGTGCTGGAGGTTCAGTTCGAGCGGCTGTCTCCTAGGATACAACGGTAATAAGCAGAATCTGAGCACCGCGGTCCTACTTCGACGAACTGATCTAGTATCTGAACAATATCACCACAAGAACAAGACCTTACTGGACAAGGAATGCAGAAAAAAGAAACTTTGCATGCAGGAATGTAGATGAGATTTTCGAGTGTGTTAGATTGCTGGAGAATGAGCCTTTCTATAGGCATATTGCCCATTAATATTGTGACCATTGGAGTAACTTCCCATTAACACTGTGACCATTGGGAGTCCATTAGAGTTTTATCAGTTTAGAAACTCAAAAGTCATTGGAGAAGGCCAAAAAAATTTGGCAAAAATTGGGCTCTCCGATGAGGCCATTTTTGCCTTGTTCGGTCCGACATTCATGTGCGCAGGTCGTGCCCGCACCCAAGTTCAAGATCCGAAGGCCATTTCGATTCGTGATTTTCACCCCCTGCGCGCACGTGGAGAGGGCCTCTATGTTACACATCTCCAAAGCATAGCCATATATAAAGTAGTTTGAGTTTCCTTGGTTTTCCTATGTGGAATAAATACATTTTTTTCCCACAAAATCAACTTCTAATGACCAACTTTGAGCTTCAATTTCTCATTCACCCGAGCTTCATTTTTGGCAAATAAATACATGAAATCAATGTTCTCGCGGAGGAGAACACATATCAACTTTGATATTCTACATTGGACCAATGGGTTCCATCGAAAATTGTGTCAAAAGTGAGCCGCTCACTTAATTTGGTGATAAAGTTCAGCGGTTGAATCCTGCATAGGATAGGTAGGTGTTACCCTTTAAACCTTCCCTTATGAAAGCATATTTACTTTACTGGCTGACCAGTAGACGCGAAGTCCTTGAACTGTTCTGCTGTTTGTGTAAACGATGATATACCTCACAAAGGATTCTTCCTAACACAATCTAGTTCTCATTGTTATATTCGTTTTGGCCATGAACATTTGCCTGGTTCTGTGAGAGTTCTTAAGAATTGAGCCCCACACAATTCTCTTAAAAGCGACCCCACTTCTCTCTCACATAGGTGATTTCTTATCACAAGTAACCCGCATTACTTGGCTTGATTTACGACGCATAAGAATCATTAAAAGCCTATTGCTTAACCTTCAACCTTACGGGCATCACTGTTACATCATAGGAATAGACAGGAGATAATACCCCCACAGTGATTTTATCAAGTCTTTACAGTTAGGTTTTCTCATTGAACCTAGATCTTGGGATCTCTAGTCAATTAGGTTGGGTTTTCCTTTATAATAACTTATTCTTTCAAGGGCTTATGTTTCATTCCTTTCGATGATTTCATAACTAACTCTCTATTTAACCCTTTGGTTAGCGGATCCGCAATGTTATCTTTTGATCTTATATAGTCAATAGTACCATTATATATGTTACTCTATGCCCTTCCTATTGCCGATTGACTGTCACAATATATGCAAATTGCTGGCACAGGTTTTAACCATCTTGGAATATCCTCTAAGAAGTTGCGCAACCATTCAGTCTCTTCACCACATCTATCTAGAGCTATAAACTCAGATTCCATCGTAGATCTGGCTATAACCATTTGCTTAGAGGATTTTCACGATATGACAGCACCACCCAATGTGAACACATATCCACTGGTAGATTTTGAGTCTTTTATATTAAATATCCAATTAGCATCACCGTGTCCTTCAATGATTGATGGATATCTAGTATAATATAGTCCATAGTCACGAGTATATCTTAAGTACCTTAGTACTCTTACAATTCCTTTCCAGTGATCAGTTTCTAGATTACTCGTGTATCTACTCAGTTTACTGACTATGTAAGCTATGTCTGGTCTAGTACAACTGATTAAGTATATTAGACTTCCGATAACTCTCGAGTATTCTACTTGAGAGATACTTTCTTCTCTGTTTTTAGACAGATGTTGACTCGTATCTATTGGTATTCTAGCTAAGCCAGTATCATCT